TTTAGAAATACTCAAATAAAAACCAAGAACATGAGTTATTTTTAGACAACCTTTATTAATAAAATTTAATGAGATGCCTATATTTTATGTCTCCACTAATTTTAATAATATTTTCACCTGGCTATGAAAAAGAGTCTCAGATATCCTCTATTACAAATTTGCATTCAGAACCTACAAATTGAGAAAGATCCAGAAATTCCATGAGAAATATGGCCACATTTAATGGAAAATTCAAAGTGATATGCAATTCTTGGTAAAGTTTAAAACAGAACAAGTTTTCTTTGATTTATATAATATTTGCATTTCTTGGCTATTCAGTTTGCTTTAAAGCTATCCCAAAAACCTGTTTTGAATTTATATGTAAAATGGAGTTTTAGTCTTTAGGTTTAGGTATAAACACGCACTTTGGATGCATGGAAGATATTTAGAACTCTGCAGGCTATGGATAATATTTTTTTGCAGAACAATCCTGATCATTGCAGGATGTCTAACCTTCCTGGCCCCATTCACAAAACTCTAGTAGTGACTACCCCCCAAATGTTATGATAACTAAAAATAACCTCCATAAATTTTCAAAATGTGCCCTGGAGGGTGGTACTATCCCCACTGAGACCCATTGATTTAAGGCTTTGCATACAGAAGTACCTAAAGTAAATTTCACAGCTTGAATGGTATAATTATGTAAGCCAATAAATTCCTCTCTTATTTTTTAGCAGTGTACATTAGACTGGTGATTCATTTAAAAAAAGATCAATTTAATTAAAATAAAGCATAAATAAGTTTGTATTTTTACTCATTCTATGAGAATATGGGAAAAATAGGAGCGGTATATGGGCAATGTGGAATTATTTCTTTCAATCTCATTATAAAATGTATGGATTTTAATAAAAATATTATGTATGTCTAACCTAGGAGGAAATTTGAACAGACCATGTGTGTCTAGCAACCAGATACACAGTAAGACGAAAATACTCTCAGAAACTTATATTCTGGTTACAAAAGGGAACACATGTTTGAGCAGAAATTCATTTTCAAAGTCCCAGCAAAAGATTTAAGGAGCTCTGTGTAGTAGTCTGGAAATAAGAGGGCTGAGTCAAAGATATGTATGTCTTTAGAAAATGCTTTCTCTAAATCAGATAGCTAACTGGACAGCATTCCTGGAAAAAAGGACATGATTTTATTTGTATTTTAGGAAAATATAGTAAAATACTTTTTAACAAAATAATCTTAAGATTTTATATCTGACATTAATTTTATGATTTTGTATTTTTTCTCTTTTAAAAAATATTTTATTTATTTATTCATGAGAGATACAGAGAGAGGCAGAGACATATGCAGAGGGAAAAGCAGGTTCCTCAAGGGGAGCCCAAAGTGGGACTCAATCCCATGACTCGTAATCACTCCCTGAACTGAAGGCCAACGCTAAACTGCTGAGCCACTCAGGCTTCCCTATGATTTTGTATTGAAAATATTTTGTAATATGCTGATAAATGAAATTTATATTTTCATTTTTAATTTTCTTATAGATGTTATTCATTTATTTGAGAGAAAATGAAAACACTAGCAGTGCAGGAGGCAGGGAAGAGCAGCAGAGGGGCAGGAAGAAGCAGGCTCTGCACGGAGTAGGGAGCCCAAGACAGAACTCAATTTCAGGATGCTGGGATCATGACCTTAGCTGAAGACAGACACTTAACCAACTGAGCCACCGGGCGCCCCAAGAAGCAAAACTTATTAAAATAGATTAGATGGGGCAGCCCGGGTGGCTCAGCGGTTTAGCACCGCCTTCAGCCCAAGGCCTGATTCTGGAGACCCGGGATCGAGTCCCACGTCGGGTTCCCTGCATGGAGCCTCCTTCTCCCTCTGCCTCTCTCTCTCTCTCTCCCCCTCTCTCTCTCTCTGTGTCTCTCATGAATAAATAAATAAAATATTTTAAAAATAAAATAGATTAGAGTAGATGGATAGATGGACATGTATACATATATATACACACACATACATATCATACGTATGTAATAAGAGATAGAATGGGAACAAATGAATTGATCATAGGTTACTTCAAAGCCCCAGAACGGTTTACCAAATTTTGATAACAGCATTTTTTAAGTGCCCATTGTTCTGTGCATTATTCCAAGCCCTTACATATGTTAATTAATATAATACTTATTTTATAAGACAGATACTATTATTTCAGTGTTCCCATTTCACAGATAAACTCCAAGGTAAAGACTTAAGTAACAAGATTTGAATCCAAACATTTTAGTGCCAAGGTATCCTCGTAAACATTATGTTCTCTGGCCTCCTTCTACTATTCTAGCGAACATCAGTTCTGAAAGCCATTCCATGTGTGCACTAAAAAACAGCATGAAACATAAGTTCAAGTTAAAGCCATGTTAGAGTAATCCTACTGCCTTAGAAACCTTAATACAATAATGTGCATTAGGGCTTGCTGGGACACACATCCCTAATTTCTTAGAACACTAACTCCTTTTATCATAAACCATTTTGCAAAAAAATAGTATTTTTATGACACGCTTGAAAAATGCTGTACAATACTGTCTTTAACACATTTTTTAAAAGATTTTATTTTATTTACTCATAAAAGAAAGAGGCAGAGACATAGGCAGAGGGAGAAGCGGGCTCCCTGTGGGGAGCCCAATGTGGGATTCCATCCCCGGACACTGGGATCATGATGTGAGCCAAAGGTAGATGCTCCATCGCTGACCCACCCAGGCATTCACTTAAATAACACATTTTAATAGATGATATTAGTAGGAAATATTAATTCCATATTTTTCACTCTTAAAATTTTATCAGTATTTTATCTTGCATTTTCAAGTACCTTGTACCAATTTTTGAAAAATATTAATTCATAGATTCTAGAATCTAAGAATGTTGATAGTATACATATATATATTTTTAAATTGCAAAAATAGTTTCCTAATTATTGAAACTTTGAAAAGACAATCTTTTTGAATATAAAAATCATCAGAGGGCATACTCTGTGATTCTAGCATTTTCTTGGAGACCTATATGAAAAGGTATTTATATTTTAAAAATATTCAATAAATCATTTGTGATGGCTTTAATAGAGATTAAATAAATGGATATAATTAGCCTGTTTTCCTTTAAGAAGAATCAGCTTTGAGCTTATAATATCTAAATTTGAAGTTAATGTATTCAAAAATCAGAAGTACTCCACAATCTAGGAAATGCAATGAAATTTAATGATCTAGGATATATTTTGATAGATATACTTATGGCAAGAGAGAAAAAAAGAGAAAGAATACCAAATAATCCAGAAAAAGGGTGTTGTGTTTTCAGACTTAATACATTTTCCCATAAACTCCATATACTTTTATATCTTTCACATAAACTAAAAATGTTTAAAATTTTCTGTCTTTAATTTTGTGCTTACAAAACATAAGTTTTAACTTTCCAAAGACAGCTAGCTTTTCCTTAACAGCTTTTGGATATTTTTTAACGCTCAAGTTAGAAATTTTAGATGACTTTTATTCAAATGAGCATATAGTATCAGTCATCCACAGAAATTTACGTTTATTTAGCACTTTCTATGGACCTAAAACTGTGGTGGAGCCATGGGCTTCCAAAGTGTCAGGTAAAGACCTTTTCTGTCTAGTGTCTATTTTGCCAGTTTCCTATATTTCATGGGAAGATAATTAAGAAGCGCTCGTTTGAAACGCATTGAGATATTCCTATATGATGCTCTCAGCTCAAATCTTTAAGATTATAATAGCATCACGAGTATATGGCCTTCTGATAATAAGAACTGACATATTTAAAATGTTTTCCTAAAACGAAATGACTTCATTTCCTATCAAAATACCCAATTTTTCATCCTTTACAATGTTGATTCTTGCTTTGTAATAGAAGAAAAAAAGATATGAAATAAGCAAGTTTCAGCACAGATAAATTTCAGGAAATGGCCAAACATCAAAATATCCAAAAACAAACTTTGATTTACTCACTGCTTTGGAGATAATCTATGAGAACCTATCTATTTAACCTTCGATAGAGAAAAGATCGAGTACCTTGAACTGAGTTTTACAGTTCACCTCTAGCGTTTAGATGTCATGTAGAAGCAGTTTTGAAATAGAAAACAATAACCATTCTCTGCTAAGAACGAACTTAACTGTTCTATAGGTCTGACAAATGCAATGTTAATGTGTTCAGTGTAACATTTGGGGTTTGCAACTGACAATGAACAAGAAAACCAGGTGCATCTGTAAAAGGGCTTAATGTGAAAATCACTTCATTCTATTTAAGCTAATTTTGACAGAAAGAGAATCTGACATCAGCACTGTGAACAATGAGGCAAAAGTTTCTTTCTATCACCTCTTTCAAGTCTTGGTTCAAACCCCAGTCAAATTCTTCCTTTTTATATGTCTCTTGTATGCAAATGCATTGAATAAGTACTACATTAGTTCTCTCTCCCTAATGTGTTATGACCTATTATTCTGTCAATTCCATGCATACAAATGCAAACTTAAATGACTTTTATCTTTCTTCCTGGTAATAGATTTGTTTTCCATTATTTCTTCCTAAGTACATAATAAATTACCAAAATTTCAGTCATTACCTTAACAATTTTTGCCATATCCACTTACTACTTTTTAAATAAAATCATATATTTCAAGCCTAGTGGGGTGTGTGTGTGTGTGTGTGTGTGTGTGCATCTGTTTTAAAAAAGACATTTTTCTGAGGTTGCCTCATGTTTTATGCACTGGCGACATATTGTCACAATAAAAATAAAAGATGTATATATAACCACAAAATTAAATGTTTGTCCAGATGCCACCTACACTTCTAAGTACCATAGGTGGTATCACACACTGGGAGCAACGATGGATAACACAGCATAGTGTCATTTACACAACAGTCATCTGAAGTCTATTCATGCTTATTTAAAGTCTATAAACTTCCACAATTAATTTCTTTAGGCTTTCTACCTAAAGAGAATTTGGCTTTGTTGTTTGTTTTTTTAAATAATAGAACGCTTCATGATTTTGCGTGTCATCTTTGTGCAGGGGCCATACTAATCTTCTCTGTAGCTTTCCAGTTTTGGTACATGTGCTGCCAAAGCAAGCACTCACTTGTTCTAAAGTAAAATTATTTTATAAGATTCTTTTTATGGTAATGACAGCTATAATCCAAAATATAAAAGTTTGATATTTACCAGCTAAAATATACATTTACATACATTTGCAGACTTTTCTTTTTTCATTAAAAATATACACATATATGTAATATAATACATAATATATATAATAATTAAAATATATAACATATAGTACATCATATAATATATATATTACATATAGTGTTCTGTACACCCATGTTCATAGCATTATCCGAATAGCCAAAAGATGTAAATAGCCTGAAATGTCTGCCACTGGATAAATGGCTTAAAAAGAATGTAGTATAGTCTCACAATGGACTATTATTCAGTCTTAAAAACGGAAAGACATGAGGCACCTGGGTAGTTGGTTAAGCAACCAACTCTTGGTGTTGGCACAGGTCATGATCTCAGGGTTTTGAGATCAAGCCACATATTGGGCTCTGAGCTGGGCATGGAGCCTGCTTAAGATTGTCCCTTGCCCTCTCCCTTCGTCCCTCCCCCATCCCACTCCACTGTCACTTTCTCTCTCTAAAAAAAAAAAAAGAAAAGAGAATAAAGGAAAGACATTCTTCTACATGCTATATATGGTGAATCTTGAGGACATTATGCTAAGTGAAATAACACAGCCACAAAAAGACAAACACTATATGACTCAACTCAGCTGCAATATCTAAACTAGTCAAATTTACAGAGACAGAAAGTTGACCAGTGGTTACCAATGGCTACCAGGGAGGAATGGGGAGCTATTGTTTAATGGATACAGAGTTTTAGTTTATGTTAATGAAAAACTTTGCATTTAGATAGTGATAATTGTTGTACAACAATGTGAATGTACTTTATGCCACTAAACTATACACTTAAAATAGGTAAAATGGTAAATTTTAAGTTGTATTTATTTTACTAAAATAAAAAAGTAAAATAATATATACTTTATATGCTCTTATATATGTATTTTATATGTGTATCCATATATAGCTTAATACTATGTTACATGTGCTGAGTGTCAAAGACCTTAAACTGACAGGTAATAAACTAACAATGAATATGTTACCTTTCACATCAACCTATAACTTTTAATAACAGTTTATTACAGCCTTTTTCATTTATCGAACATCATTGGTATATCCTTTCCTAACTTTCCCGAAAAATTTATTTATTTATTTATTTATTTATTTATTTTAATTTTTTTTAATTTTTTTATTTTTTTTTTTAATTTATGATAGTCATACAGAGAGAGAGAGAGAGAGAGAGAGAGAGAGGCAGAGACACAGGCAGAGGGAGAAGCAGGCTCCATGCACCGGGAGCCCAACGTGGGATTTGATCCCGGGTCTCCAGGATCACGCCCTGGGCCAAAGGCAGGCGCCAAACCGCTGCGCCACCCAGGGATCCCCCGAAAAATGTATTGAAGTAAAATCTATTTTGGAACCAGCACACTCTATAAAACTTTTGAACATTCTCAGAGTTTCTGATTAGAGGTAAATCAGCAGTAGAAAACATTTTCTGTAACTAAATTCTTTTTCTTTTAGAAATATTTATTTTACAGAGAGAGCACAGGGGAGGGGTGGAGGGAGAGAGAGAGAGAGAGAGAGAGAAAGAGAGAGATAGAATCCCAAGCAGATTCCCCTCTGAGCACAGAGTCCAACCTGGGGCTGGATCTTATGACCCTGAAGATCATACCTGAGCTGAAACAAAGAGTTGGCTGCTTAATTGACTATACCCCCCAGTTGCCCCAGTATGACTAAATTACTTAATAGTCTGTTGCTGGAGTCTTTGCATTCAGAGTTCTACACCCATCTATCAAAATCTCTCAAAGAACTTTACCCTTGTGAAAATACCTTCTAGTACCTATTGAATTTAACTCTCCCAGAACCTGCTAAATACACTCCTAGACACTCGTGTTTCTTCAAAGCAGAGAGTACACATTCTGTGTCAAGAAAACACATCCTTATTCTAGAATAAAAAACTACCTCTCCATAAGCTAACTTTCTTCTTACTGAGTTGCTGGCCATTACCTAGATTAATTGTATTCAGGCCCAGGGCTTTGTTTGCTTTACCTGAATCCATGTGTAGTGGACATAGGTTGTTTATTCTTTATCAGCATTCATTTCCTCTTCTGAGAGTAGGATCCAGATTTCCTTTTGGAAACCCAACCCCACGTTCTAACCCTCATTCGTCTTCAGTCTATTTGGTTTGTGTGTGAAGGTCTCATCCCAAAATTCTGGGGAGGAAGACAAAGGTAGTTAATGAGTATGCCCCATCCTTTTGTCCACTGCAGTTATTTTAGTAGACCAAATTAATTCCATAGATTAATTTAATTAATTTAATAAATTGCTTCAATATAATCAAATCAAAGTAAATTTGTTGAACTAATTTAAAATAGAAATCATCTTCTTAATAGGTTTACTAAGCTGGTATACCTTAAGCCAAAATTGTTAGTTCCATATTAATACCTTTCCTAGTCAAAGCCTAGCTGAGAATGAAGCCAGCAAGTATAAAAGCAAAGCCAGAAGACAGAAAAAGTTTCCAGATGATTTCCTTTCAGCACCTGGATCCACCTTCATGTTGACCTTAATGATCTTCTCTTGAACACTTCAACCACTTGAATCAATACAGTCCTGCTGCTTTGGCTTAAACAAATTTGAGATGAGTTTATGTCCCTTGCCACAAAGCAAGTTCAATCGTATATTAGCACAGTGCTCCTCGAAAGTGTTCTATGTGATAACAACGTGAATCAGAATCATCTGTACATCTAAAACATGCAGATCTTTGTGCACCACCTTTGACTTACTGAATCAGAATTAATGGAAAAATGGTGCCTAGTAATATATATGTGCTATCATTCCAATGTCTAACCAGTCACTAATCTGGAATCTGTTCTCTACTTCCCATGTTCTTGAGGCATCAGGTTTTAAAAATCTACTTCCACATTTCCTTCAAATTAATTACATGATTATCTTACTTTTGTTTTTCCACCATTTTGAATGATAACCTGGCCTTGGCCTCTTCTATCCCTGTAGCAACTACCGTGCCCTTTTGTATTTAATCGCAGTTCAGGTCTTGATCTTGGCTTGGCCTAGAAATTTCCCCCAGGAATCTTTCTTAAAGAGAAAGACATTTAGTAATATTGAAACTTCGGGATCCCTGGGTGGCGCAGCGGTTTGGCGCCTGCCTTTGGCCCAGGGCGCGATCCTGGAGACCCGGGATCGAATCCCACGTCGGGCTTCCGGTGCATGGAGCCTGCTTCTCCCTCTCCCTCTGCCTGTGTCTCTGCCTCTCTCTCTCTCTGTGACTATCATAAATAAATAAAAATTAAAAAAAAAAAGTAATATTGAAACTTCATAAAAAAAAACAGAATTTTAGAGGAGACTGATAGCAATTATTATTATCTGATATGGATTCAACAGTGCTTCCAAAGGAGTACATGTAGGTATTCAGAAAATTTTTGTGTATGTGTGCTAGGACAGGGAAATGCCAGTGTTGTTGAAAGACTTCTCAGATTGAAGCAGAAAAATATCAAAAGCAAATTTAAGGACTAATGCAATTTAAATCTACCAAGGGCAGTTTTGATGAACAGTAAGAGAGAGGAAGAAAGAAACACTGGAGTTTTGGGGGCTGTATTGAAAAAGCGGATGTAATTTAAATACAAGAGGGCAGGCAATCTGGACAGTCAGGATTCAAACTTGCTATTAGCTCTACAATTCCGCATCACGTCATTGTTGCCCAACACCCTTTCCCGGGCTGTGTGTTTGCACTGTAGATGTTTCCCCCTGATTGCGCCCTGGTGGTCTGCTTGTTGGAAGTCTTTTTTGTTTCCATTCAGTATACTTTTTGACTTGCTTCCCACTTCCCTGGTTCGTTCATTCGCCCTAATTATGATTATCTGATAAAGAATGGAGGTGACACTTCCAAACCACGAGTCCAAACAGTCTCATTAGGCAGGAAACCCTGCCATTTATCTAATTTAAATAAAAAAAGGTGTGTTTTACACAAAACAAACCTAAGCAGCCAGCCACAGAAATTCCTTTCATCGGATCTATTTACTTCTCTTTGGTATTCAGTATGATCTTTTAAGCAACAGGCAGTTATAATAAGAGTTCAATGGTTTCTCTAATTTTTCAAATGGAAGTCAGATTTAGAAGGTGTTTGGTTTTTGCAGACCTGTTAAATTCCTAGACTTACACATTTCAATAGTTAATCATGAAGTAGCTAAAAAATGTGCTCCTTTTTGGAAGTATTAAATAAATACAGAGGTTGTTTTGTTATTTAAAAACTTAAAAAATGCAGCATGGAAAGCAGCTCATGAATTTAATTCTATGGCATCATTTTTAGAAAAGACAGGTTAATAATTGAATGGAGTTGTCAAGAGAGATAGAATATAGAGTAGTTATGAATGTATTTTGTCAAGTGAACATTCACTGTTGATGTAAAAAGCTAAGACTGATTGAGCTTGAAAGAGAACAGTGAAAACAGCCGGGATCCCTAATAATCTGGAGCATTTAGACTCAAAACTCTTTCATTCTGTCACCCAGATATCTGTATGTTGAGGAATGCAGTGATAGCGATTGCTTCTCCACCCAGGACTAACTGTTGGCTATCAGTGACCAACTCTGTTCTACGATGGTAGTGAGGCAAATGTTCCCCATTAAATTATCTGAATCCTAGAATTATTAAAAAAGAGATCTCTCCCCTCTGATTTCATAGGCTTTTCCCAAATAAACTATAGAGAGTTGTACTTTGATGTTCCAAATTGCATATTTACCATGTTTCATCAGGAATAAATCCTACTTGAGTATATGAACACACTGAACCATAAATGAAGACCACACGTTTTTTAATACTTTCTGATGTGATAATACATAGGACTTGGCTCATCATTTAGCAATGTCATTCTTTGCTTTTAATGATAAGGCCGCCAGAGTGGTCAGATAGTCTCACTAAAACAATCTCATCAACTCTGTTTAGGTTCACAT